AATTCAATGTTTGCGTAATATTTAAATCATTACATAACAATAGAATAAGTACGTACGTACTTAAAGTTTATATAAATATAAATGTCCTTTTGGAAGTATTTTATTACTAATCAAGCATCAAATTTCTGAATAAGACCTGTTAACTACAGTCGAATGTTGAATTACATATAGTTCTCCTTAAACGATAGAACATTGGACGTAGAAAACTGAAAATTATTGCAAAAATGTCTTTTATAAGAATAGAAGACAATGGCCGTTCGAAACCGTTTATTAGTGACTTACGACATGATCAAATGATTATGCATTTATATAGTGTTATAACAATATAAATATTGTTGTGCAAGTTTCACCAACTTTTTGAAACTAGCTATTTTGAATTCATACAGTCCTGTATACATTAAGCATGCGGGCGCCGAGCAATATATATTCTTTTTAACCTTAGATTATAAATAATAGTTCATGGTACCAAATTTCAATATTGATACATGACATCTTCAAAATTAAAAAATTACTTTGAAAAAAAATGTCACAAAATAATCTCAAATTTAACATTTTCTTAATGTCGGCAACATTTCTGGCACTGGTTGGTGGCTATGGTGTCACAAAATTATACAATAAGTTAAAGAAAAGAATACCAGAAATATCAGAAATTTCGGAAAATGTCATTCCAATATATCAAGAACCCCCCTCATTTAAGGCGACCAAGCCCACTCCCGCTAAAATACTACCACCGAAGAAAAATGAAATCGAAAAATTGGTCATTGCATACAACAACCTTCAACGACAAGCAATGAACACTCGTGATAAATTTCATCAAAAATTGGCTACGACTCTAATGGAAATCGAAGAAATACGAGAAGAAATTTATAATTTTGAGTGTCAAAGTTCCATTAAACTTCATGGAATACTAGAAGAAATAGAAATTTGTAATAACCTACATTCGGATTCTAAAGAACTTGCAAATTACATAGCAAGTTTGAGGACAAAAGCTACAGAGGAAGAAGAGGTTAAAAATGAAACATTAGAATTAATGCAAATTGAACTCGGACTATTAATAAGGAAGTATCTAGAGTTGGAAGAACGAGAGATGAGGGCATGGCATAAAGCGTTGATTGACATAAAGAGAGTACAAAGCCAACTTGCTCGAGCGACTAATTGGGCATTACAGCTTTCGAAGAAACGTTCTATGAAAAGATAAACATTACAAGCAACAAAAAAAAAATCATAGATGCATCAATTATTGTACTAATCATTCCCAGCATTTAAATATTCACAAATAAAAATGTATATATTGATGTCAATTTAGGCATGTAAGATGCAATAACGCTTATACAATTTTAATATTGAATC